TAGTGTTCTTGATGTCATCCCACAACTCTTCTGGTCTTCAGTCTTTCGTGTTTAATGTATCAAATCTGTTCTTCAAATGAGCTCTAAATTCAGGTGGAATATATACAAGGTCATATTTTGGCTCTTGTGGATTTGTTTTAATTTTCTTCAGCTTCAGTTTGAATTTGCATAAGAGTAATTGATGTTCTGTTCCACAGTCTGCCCCGGCCTTGTTTTCACTGATGATATGGAGCTTTTCTATCGTCTCTTTCCACAGATGTAGTCGATTTGATTTTTATGTATTCCATCTGGTGAGATCCATGTGTATAGTCGTCTCTTATGCTGTCTAAAGAAGGTATTTGAAATGAACAAATCATTGGTTTTGCAGAATTCTATCATGCGTTCTCCAGCATCATTTCTATCACCAAGACCATATTTTCAACTACTGATCCTCTTTGCTCCCAACCTTTGCATTCCAATCATCAGTAATGATCAATACATCTTGATTGCATGTTTGTACAATTTCAGATTGAAGAAGTTGGTAGAATTCTTCTATTTCATCCTCACTGGCTTTAGAGGTTGATGCATAAATTTGAATTATAGTGGTATTAACTGGGCTTCCCTGTAGGTGCATGGATATTAGCCTATCACAGACAGTGTTGTACCTCATGACTGATCTGGATATGATCTTTTTGACAATGAATGCAACACCATTCCTCTTCAGTTTGTCATTCCGTGCATAGTAAACCATGTTTTCTGAATCAAAATGGCCAATACCAGTCCATTTCAGCTCACTAATGCCTAAGATATTGGTGTTTATACATTCCATTTGATTTTTGACAACTTTCAATTTTTTCCAGATTCATACTTCGTACATTCCATGTTCCAATTTTCAGTGGATGTTTACAGCTGTTTCTCTTCATTTTGAGTTGTGCCCCATCAGCAAATGAAGGTCCCACAGGCTTTTCTCCCATGGGCTTCACTCTATTCGCATCATCACAGTCAACTCTGCTTTGAGGAGGCAGCTCTTCCCCAGTCACATTCTGAGTGCCTTCCAACCTGAGGGGCTCATTTTCTGGCACTTTATCTGACAGTGTTTCTCTGCTATTCATAAGGTTTTCAGTGACTAAATAGTAGTTTGTCACTCCTTCTTCCTATTCTGTCTTCATCTGGAAGCTTATCTGAAACCTGTCCACCATGGGTGACCGGTATTTAAAATACTGGTGGCATAGCTTCCAGAATCACAGCAGCTCACAAGCCACCACAATATGACAAACTGACAGACGAGTGGTGGAATTTATTCATACGCACACATATATGCATGTTATTGTGGTTAAGTGCTGTAGAATAGGTTCCAACTCATAGTGACCCTGTATAGGGTTTTCAAGGCTGTAAATCTTATTCGGAGCCAAAAGCCTTATTTTTCTCCTGTGGAGCAGCTAATGGGCTCAAACTGCTGACCTGTGGTTAGCACTCCACTGCTTCTCCTTCAGAATCACAGCACTCCCCACATATGTGTATACATGCATACCTATATGGAGTCCTGGTGTTCAGCTGTACGTTACACACTGTATTGCTGACTGCTAGGTCAGCAATTCAAACCCACCAGCTGCTCCTCAGAAACTCTATTCACGGTTGCTTTAAGCAATAACTTACTAGACAGCGTTTAACAATAACACGTATGTAAGTCCTGGTGTGCTGTGGGTGAATGCGCCAGACTGCAAAGCCATTTGAACTGCAAGGTCGGCGGTTCAAGCTCACCAGCTTCTCCTCAGAAACCCTATATAGGGTTGCTGTGGGTCAGAATCGACTGGACAGCACTTAACAACAACAACAACAACATGCCTTAGTCTTCAAAGTGATATCTTTTCTTTTTAATACTTTAAAGAGGTCTTTTGCAGCAGATCTGCCTAATGCAGTATGTCATTTGATTTTTTAATGGCTGTTTCCTTGGGCATAGATTGTGGATCCGAGTAAAATGAAATCCTTGACAGCCTCAGTCTTTCTCGGTCTGTCATGATGTTCTTTACCAGTCCAGTTGTGGACTTTTGTTTTCTTTATGTTGAGGTATAATTCATGCAGAAAACTGTCATCCTTGATCTTCATCAGTAAGTGCTTAAAATCCTTTTCATTTTCACTAAGTAAGGTTGTATCCTCTGTGTTATGTCAGAATCCAGATGAGTCTTCTTCCAATCTCGGTGCTATACACACATGTATTGTATTACTATGCTATGTATTGATATTTAATGCAAGGAGAGTTCCTGGCCCATAGTAAGCATTCAGTAAATGTCTGTGGAGTAAATGAGAGAAATCTGTGGAGTGAGATCCTGTTTGGTTGGGGAAGATTCAAGAAGGCCTCAAGGTATTTGATGATCTTTGAGGTAGATACTATTTGACAGGAAGAAACAACTTAGGAATTCCATTTAGAAAGAAAAAGTTCAACAAAGGCACCACTGAGGGAGTAGATGATATGTTTAGGAAATGTTCCATTCCCTAGTGAAAAGGGACTGAAGTCACTTGAAAGCAAAAGATGGGAGCTAAAGGTCGGAAGTTTAAGTCTACCCAGAGGTGCCTTGAAAGAAAGGCCTGGCAACCCATTTCCAAAAACTCCACCATTGAAAGCCCTCTGGAGTGCAGTTCTACTCTGAACACTCATGGGGTCACCATGAGTTGGCGTGAACTCAACGGAAGCTAGGGGGTTCTTAAGCTGGTGAAAGATCTCTAATGGCAATAAGGGAGTCGGGGATGCACATAACTCAGCAGGCAACCTGCAAGAATTTTAAGTGGAGAAGCGTTATCCTTAAGAAAATTACTCTGGTTTTTGGAGGCGGCAGAGGCAGAGTCAGGTAGGACAGGCTCCGTGGGGGAAGGGCTGAAAACCCAGAGAAGCTGCTTTCACGGAACAGCTCCAGACCTGTGGATCAAGCATAAGGTGCAGGGTGTCAGTTGCCCACACCCACCAGTGGAAAAATCACTGTAAAAAGGAAAATATTGTGATTTAGAAATCGATCAGAACAAGGGACTTCCTCTGCAGCCACCCCGCCAGGCTGACTTCAGAGGACGAGGGCACAGCCAGACTGCCACAGTGAACCAGTGCTAAAAACCAGCACAGCAAAAGGAGGCATGGGGGGATTCTACACATTTTTTCCTCCTCTTCCCTGTTGCGCCTTATTTGCCCAGCCCTGATATCTTCAAGCTAGTGGGCGCACACCCCCAAAAGGGTCCAGTATTGATCCGACAGTTTTCCCACAGCACAGAGAGGAAGAGTCCCATTGGTCCCATGGGCTAATTCTTTGGCAGCTGCTTATAACATCTGACTCTGGGACACAGTACTAAAGTTAAATGGTGCAGGACCCTTTACTCGTGCCTACCCAGCAAGAAAAAAGCAAATCATGAAAGAGAAAGG